GTGTGTGTGTGTGTATATAAAGCAAGGTATGTGGGGAATATAGGGTGTTTCAAAAGAAAATATTTCTTTTATATGTGAACTTCTGTATAAGAAATCTTGATAGCTTAAAATGTCTTCTTTTTTTTTAATGAGCATTTCAAGTATAAAAAGTGAGTTTATTTTTATAGCTGAAATTTTGATTAAAAAGTCTTTATATCTGGCTATCAAGAATTTGTAAAACCAAAAGAAATAATTCAATAAATGGCTGTTTCTTTTGGACTCTGAATTGTGTGTTGTTCTAGAAACATTACTGTAAATGTATTAATGTAATCATTTGCATGAAAATAAAAATCTAGAGCCTAAAAAGGAGGCATAGTTTTAAGTATGAAAACAAATTAAGAGAAGAGGAAACTTCTTGGAACATCCAGTTGTAGAATTGGTTTCAAACACGTTCCTTGCCTATTGGGGAATTTACAAATACACAAATGTACTAATTTTGGTGGGTATTTGATGGCAAAGACTTGCTCTAAAAGTTAGTAGGTCTGTTGAAAAGCAGTTTTCATGGCTCAACATAACAGCTAAATGGCAAATAGAGGTAAAGATTTAATCATGAATGATTAGAAGCGATTTTAGAAGCCAGATATGTTAAACAGTCAAAGTCCAAATCAAGACAAGCAAGAAATTCTGAGATGTGGATTATTAGGAGAATATTAAAGAATAAACAAGTTGATATTTGACAGCAGCTTTCTGTTAAAACATTACTTAAAAAAGAAAAATTAAACAAACATTTTATATAAATACTATCTAGAAATCTTATCAAGTTTTACTTTCTGTAATTCATTTATTGTAATTTATACTAATTTATATTAAAATAAGTCATTCATTTATCACCGGGAGAGTATTGGGAAAAGTTTTTATTATCATGGAAAAATTGTATAGCAATCTAAGTGAGCTTTGCATTGATTACAGAATGAAGTACAAATATTTTATTATTAGTATTGATGTTTGAGGACTAATAAGGAAAAAGCAACCAATATTAAAATATCTTAATGCTCAAGAGTTCATATCTTTCAAAGATTGAACTTGTTTCCATTATAGAGCCACTGTAACCATTTATATATAGGGGGCTATATATAGGGGACTCATAAAGGATCTAAGCAAGCAGCACATTTTTATGTGGGCTTTTCTCAGGAAACAAGAGGAGGCACTCCTGAATAAAAGGTGGCAGGGCAGTGGAAGTTCTTGTCAAATTATTGATATTTTTGCCTTCATAAACACAATAAGGAAGACATGTGACAAATGACAGAAGCAATAAGGAGACATCAACCTGCAAGGAAGTGGGAGATGGGGGTCTTATACAGTTTCTATGCAATGTACTTAATTTTAAGGCATTTTAATACTAAATGTAGATTGGATAAAAGTTAGAATATGAATATTCCAATATTCAGGAGTTGTTCATGTAGACATGTTTTCATTTCACAGTAATTAATATTTTCTTCATAGAAGGTTATTTTGTTTTTATTAGCAAAGAATTATTAACAAAACACCAAAGGTAATGAAGGATATTAATTGATTTGATTTTTATGACTTATCAACCTTTTGAACATCGATTACAGTACCAAGTGTTAGTAATGAAGCCAAAAAGAAATCATGACATAAAAAACCTCAAAGTCTCAATAAACAACAAATGATATTTTGTAAATATTACACCATACAAGCCACCATCAGTTTATTGTATAAAACTTAATGTAACTGATTGTTTAAGGAATTATAAACAAAAGTAATTCCTAAATTTACTTACTTCAAATAGATAGGCAGCAAAGGTAAGAACAGTTTAAATTAGAATAAGCTAACAATGCCTCATCTCACGAGTATCGAACTGTATTATCCTTTACATATTGGCCAGATGAGATTGAGTGTCAAGTCTCAAATAAAGCAAGAAATAAAAAAAGAAAAAAATACAACATTTAAGGGAAGATGAAATTAATTGTTTTTGCTATCTAATGACTTCCTTGTGAGAATCAAAACACAGGAGGATAAAATTGCTAATCTTCTACCACCAGTGAATGTCTTCAATGTGTTGTGTTATATCGAAACGAAAAGGAGCCAGTTCAACCAGATCCTGGTAAAACAGCTGAAGAATATCAATGATGTACATTAAAGACGTGATGGAAAGAGTTAGCATGTAGTTAAAAAGATAAAAGGAAATCATTGGAAATTAAATTTTAGAGACTAAGAGAGAATTCTAAAAAGAGAAAAAAAATGTATTTGGCAACAACGGGCTTCAGAAAATATTTCTATAATAACAGAAGTATTTTTTCAAATAGTTTCAACTGAAAAGAACTAAGATGCATCGAGTATTAGAAATAATAAGAGGGATGGTAATATTCTAGAAGTATCTTCTTCATGGGGAAGAGAAATTCATTACAGCTAAAACTGTCCTTATGACCACTACCTTAATTTACATATATCAAAACTCAACTTTCAAGAAGTCTTAAAGGTTAAATGCCAAATCACAAGAACAAAAATATTCAAAAGTTACTGATAGTCATTTTTGATAATGGCATTGGGAAAAAGAGAAAAATACTGATTTTGTTGCTATTTGTTATTCAGGATGAATTGGAAGATGAAGACAATGACTAATTACTTTAAAGTTGGACTTTAGTTAGATTTTAACATTGTAAGATAATGCTTCAGAAAAGTGCAGCTTTCAAGTGATTCCGTAATTCAAGTTGAATTGACATCTATATTAGAAATAACAACCAAACAGAAAATACAATAAAGAGATTCAATAATAAACCACGAGAAGGATGCATTACAATTATGGGGAAAGTCTTAAGATATTGCATAAGATGCTAATTAAAAAGAAATCACTTTAGAGCAGAATAGCTGATGAATAATTGGAAGAGTAAATCCAATCTTTTCTCTCTCTCTCAGCAATAATGTCGCATATTATCACAAGTTGACTGCTAAATTATAGAATATTTGACGGTTAAATAAAGATGTAAATTATTGTTACTTCCATTCTGTTTCAGAAATATTTAAAAAAAAAAAAAAAAAAAAAAAAAAAAAAAGAAAGAAAGAAAAAGTGGCTCCTTGTGCCCTATTTGTTCAGTGCTCTCCATTAAAGAAAAGAAAATGTTTATTATTTGGAATAAACAAGAAAAGCCATCAAAGGACAAAGCAATAAAATGACAAAAGCCAGTACACACACATACACACATTATATATATATATATATATATATATATATATATATATATATATATATATATATATAGATAGATAGATAGATAGATAGATAGAGAGGCAAATTATACAACAACCATCATACAAAGATTATTAATAACTGATTATTATGGACAAGTATGTATATCCTGAGTGGGTATCTGGTTTTATCTTCAAAAATAGAATCTAAATCAATTTTTAAGTTAAACAACTGAGAATATTTTTAAATTCATTTTTTTTTTTTGTTAATGAGAAACATTTAGCTGCAGTGGAAATTTCCAGAATAAAAGTTTCTGATGATACAATATTCTTGGATTTTCCTTAACTAATTAGTTGTTGGGTAGAAATGAAATAAATTACTTAAAGAGGGTATATGATCAACACAGCACAAGATATGCTTTATTATGGAGTATTATATACTCTCACTGACAAGAATTGAATATGTAAACTATAGAGCAAGGTAAGAAGAAAGTACAAGAGATGAGGATGTTCTGCAGAGTTTTGTTATGAATTTCAGAGAAATAAATAGATACAGTATACTTTTAAAATACTGCAGGGGTTTTGTGGTATACAATACGATACAGTACTCACTTTTTGTTTTTTCCTCCATTAAATGCAGCTAATTTCTTGATATGTTCTCAAGAATAAAAATACTGATCAATGGTTGAACAAGTAATGACAACAGTGTCCAAAATACAACATCAGAAACCTATGTAGACATTTCCAAAGAAGCTGGTATTTACTCATCAACAGCTATTTATGACCATTGCTGGTTCAGATAAAATATTAGACTCTAATTTATAGTCTGTCTTGTTTTGATATTTTGGCGACTAAGACGTGACTCAAAAGAAACGAAACACTTCTCCAAAGCTATTTAATGCCCTCAGTGGTTACAACAATAAACCAAGGAATGCAAATAGCAACTAGAAAAGAGTGAATCCTTTGCAATCACGAGTTTTTGAAGCCATGTGCAAACCACAGGTAACAATGGACCTTACAGTATATGTGTCTGTATGTGTGAACATATATATGTGTATGTGTGTGTGTTTGTGTGTGTGTGAGAGAGAGACTAACTATATACATCTTTTCTTTTTCTACATATTCATTTTCTATTCTGTATGGTGTGTGACAAGTCTACACAGTATGTGTGCGTGCTTACAAAGACAATGCCCGTGGGAGTTCACTGTGGCCAGAGATGTGATGCTATGAAACACTCCACCCTCAGCTTGGCACACATGAAGGTCCACATGTTTCTTCTCCCTCCCTCCCTCTTTTGTTCATGGCAAAAACATATTCAAAAATTAGTTTATTAGCTACAAAATAGTTGATTTACATTTTTCTGTATGTATGTGTGCATGTGAATAGATGTAAATTCAAATGCACACATACACATATCTTTACACTTTTCAATTTTCTTGGTTTTCTTTCAGTCATCTCTTTATTTGTTTTATACAACAGAAGAAAATATGAAAGTTCTGACTGAAGCTGCCACCTCCTGACAAATTAGTGACACAAATGGGGATTTGACATCACAACGGGTCAAAAGGGACTTGGTGGAATATGCAGCACACGATTTGAGTAACATTAGCAGCTCAAGTAGTAAAGAACTGCTCTTTCAAAGCTGCACACACGCAAAATACGCATACATAATTGAACAGGTGGAAGGTAGGAAATATAGACGACACATTCAAAGAAATAAAGGTGGATACTAATAGAGGGAAATACAGAATGGTTACGAATAGTGGGGTAGGAGGGTTAGGGTTAGTGGGCAGCAGCAGAAAGAAGAAGCAATATTATTTGTTTTCGATCAAAGTCTGTATCCGAAGGACCAATTCTCGACTAATTTTCAGCACTTGCTTAGCATTGTGCCGTTCTGCCATTTCTGTAAAAAAAAAAAAAAAAAAATACACATAATATAAGCTATCATTTTCTTTTTTGCATATCAAAATAAATGTTAACAATGAGAGTTAAGTGAGCTGTAAAGATAAAAATATCAACCTGTTCATCATTCAGACATATGCTGTCATTTTCTTTGTTGAGTATTAGTTTGGCACTAAAAGTTAATTCAAATGAATCCTCTGCCATGATTCAAACACTTGTCAATTGGTGCCAAGCAAATGACATAACCATTAGGCCATTGCTCTACTTTTTGATTAGAACCTGAATAGAGTTCCTTTCTTGGGAATTATTTTAATTAGTCAATTATAGTTTTTTTCTTTCTTCAAATAATATTGATGCATTAACTTCATAAAAAAAAAAATAATTTTCTTTGAATTTTTAATAAAACAGCAATCACTTTAAAGTTTATGACCTATTATTGCTTTTTATTTATTTATTTTTTTTTTTTAAGTATTTTTAGAACTAATTTTTAATTTCATTATTTTATAGAATAAAATACATTTTTTTTTTTTTTTTTTTTTTTTACATATGTTAAATGATATATTAAGTCAACAGAAAAAAGTCCAACCTGGTATTAAATACATTATTTTCTTAATTGTAAAATAAAGGCAATTTTTTTAATTAAATTCTTTATCTTTTGTCACCAAATCATTGAAGAAAATCCCCATCTTTAAGTAAACATCACAAAGTGTAACAAGAAGACTGGGCAGAAGAAGTCCAGGAAAACTGATTTCTCAACAGTAATTTTTAGTGATGAATGTAGAGCTACATTGGATAGATCTGATATTTTCATAGAAATAGTCAAGTAAAATTTATCCTACATTAATAACCCAAAACATTAGTCCATGTCCTTCCTAGGTGCAGCTTCAATAAATTCAATAGAAAATGTGATTATTCATTAAAAGAGATAGGTATGAGAATTGAAGACAAAATTCATGCAAAAAGGATCTTTGGAAAGATTTTTTTTTTTTTTTTGCCCGTATCTTTTGAATTTATTTATAAATAAAAATTTATCTTGTACTTAATTTGTATGCATAATGAAAGCTGATAAAATATCTATGTGAAATGCATATCATATATTGCTCAAAAATATCAGTTGGTTTATACCAATTTTATTTTAATTGACATGCATAATAACATTTCACAGTGTCTTCCAGCATTAGCAATGAACAAATCTCATTGTCAATCTTATGATATAGGAGGATTGTTGTTACTTGAACCTGAATTCAATTGTTTAGAGTTCAGAGAAGAATAAAGAACAGAGATTAGCATAAAAGGAAAATATGAAAATCAACTTATAACCTTTCGGTGATTGTTGTCTTATCAAAATATAATAAAAATAAAGTAAGATTTTCAATTTAGTTTTTGTTGAATTTAATTCATATTATCTGAAAAAACAGAAAAAGAAATATGACTAAATCAAATAAATACAAGGAGTAAGAAAAAAAAAAAAAAAACAAACTTAGTATTTCATTTCTTCTTATCTTCAAAGTAGCAGAATGCTAGCCTAATGTCATTTGCCTGCCTATTGCTTGGTTAGAGCTTTGAATAGACAGAAATTTCCACAGATCCAGTTCGTATCAACAGTCAATCATCAAAAGCAAAAGGAACAAAAAGGACTACTAGTAGTAAAACTGCCGTGGGCCGATATTAGAGATCAGAATTATTTTTGATTATGAAATATAAAATTAGAAGAGTTATGTAAATATAATAAAGAAGTGACATCTGTTCATTTTATAAAATTTTAATGGCAAAAACTCATGTTTTATGAATAATGTACCAGCATCTAAACTTTGTACATTTTGTTTCTGCTAAAATCAATTTGTTTGGTGCCAGTATCAAGAAAACTATTTTTTCCAAATCCTTTCCAATAAAGTTGATTATTTGAAAAATCAAAGGTCAAAAAGACAATAGTTAATTTTTGATTAATAATGTTTTAATATGTCATCACTTTCTGGTAGATGACACTGTATTTTGTTATGAAGGGCAGATGTTAATGTCAATTGTGAAATTGATATCCTGTAAGGACAAACTGATTATTATTGCATTTTAAATATTGTTCATCAAAACCAATCATTTGCATTACTTCTTACAGTGAAAATAAGTGATAATATTTGACTTAATAAAAATGTTTGATGTGGTAAAAAGACAGACATCACATTTATGTCTGTCTTTTAACCACATCAATTCTATCTGGAATTATAATGAAAGGAATATATTCACCATCAACATAACCAAAGGGGGTGGGGAGAGAGATGTTTTATGATGGATTAAATAATCATTATATATTTCCAGCATTCACTTATACTTTAATTCTTTGATTACAAAAAATAATTCTAATGTCAATACTTAAAGCCTTACCATTGAAAAATTTAATGATATCAGTAAAGTCCATGTTGTTGTCAAGGATAATGTCACGATAGTACTCAACTAAGGCCAGAGCAATGAAGAGAACAAAGTGTGCTGAGCTGATGTGTTTTGCAGCCCAAATTGTCTCCCATACACAGAACACATCATCATAAACCAATTCTAAAAAGAAATAAACACACACAAAAAAAATAATCAAAATATATTCAACATATTTAAAATATTGCATCAACAATTTTTTTAAATGTTTAAAATAATACTTAAATTATCATTGATTTTTTTTTTAATTTTTTTATTTTCATCTGCTAATGCACAATAAACAGATTTGCTGGACTAAATTAACTTTAGTCTAAGATTACATTTTGGAAGGATCAAAACTCATTTTCAGCAGCAGCTTGTAATGGACAATAAGAAAATAATCACAGATGATTTCAACAGTATATATATATATAAAAACAAAACAGGAGAGGATTGAATTCACTAACCTCTTTTAAAATCCAAGAGGAACCATCGGTAACAAAAGTAGAAATGAGTATAGTCTCCATTCTGGTGCATATGCTCAAATAATTCAGAATCAAGAATCTGAAAAATATTAAACATGTGGCAATTAGTTAATTTTTTTTAAGGTAATAAATGTAGGAGGAAGAGGAAGAGGTGGCAGATGTTATGTGAGAAGAAATTTCCATGTATCATGCAAGTTTGTCTCACCTGTATCAAAGAGCGCATATTTGCAAAGTGGTTATCCATGGCTCCACCATGAGGAAAGTTATAAGCCATCCGCTTCATTAATTCACAGAAACAACTGTATGTAAGAGCCTCTGTAAGAGGATAAAATAAAACACTTGCTAATGATCTACTTGTTTTATTATTACTCTTATTTCAGTAAGCTCAGATTTTAAATATAAAAAAGAAAAAAAAAAAAGAAAAACAGAGGATAAACTCATTAAAATTAGTTTCGAGTCAATCAAAGGCATTGAAATCTTTATAATGTGACAAGATGAATTTCTTTTTGTCAGTTCTTATAAATCTGAGAACTAAAAAGGCAAAATTCATTTGAAGAAATTGGTTATCAAAAGTTCTTCTCATTTTTCAGGTAATTATCAACTTGATTTCTATTTCAATCTAACAGGGAGTGTGATGAAAAGTTTTGCACACAATCCACTTTCAAAATATGACCAAATGACCAAACATTTTTTTAAAATCTCTTCTTAGTGAGGCCAAGAGCCTTTCAACACCCTCCTTGTATTAGTGTCCAGATCAGTGATTCATTCATGAAAATAAAACAATGTACTAGTGCACATAAGTAATATTAGTTGAAGAAAAACTATTTGGTTATCTTATATCTGTGTAGTAGCATACAGGGGTTGGGTAGATGGAGGTGCTGAAAAGTACTTGTACTGATCAAGAAGAATCATGGCCATGAAACACATATGCTGCTTTACATATTCAACACATTGTTGACATATTGCTTATAAAATTTCTTCAACCTTAAAAAAATTAAACAGTGTGGAGATGTGGTGATCATAGGGAATGTAATCATTGAACAAGGTTCAAATTCTGATCACAATAGCTTGGGTTCATTTTGTATTGAGATTCTTCGAAAAGGCATAAATCCACCTATCCTATTGTCAGATGTCTTTACATATGGTTTTACTTGTTCCATCTGCCAAATAATACTTAGAAAGGGGATGGGTACAAACAAATAAGATTCTTGCATGAGATATCATGAAAGAGAGCATTCAATAACACCAACAAACCCAATTGTAAAGAAAAAAGTTACCATCATCAAAGATAACCAACAAGGGAGCAACAAGGTCACACATTCCTTGTACATAACCAATGTCCAGATGCTCCCAAACATACCTGAAATTGAAATCAAAACAAAAAATACTTCTTTATGATTAGAAGACCAAAACATTGTACTGAAATGATTCAAGTGATTAATAAAGGTATCTAGTATGAAAAATGTTAGAAAAAAACTTGCCGTGATTATTTAGTTATGAAATGAAGACATATCAAATATTTTATAAAATGATTGTTTAGAAAGTGTATTCTTTCTAATATTCATAATTAATAATCTCTACAATAAAAATTTTATATAACTATTGGAAGATGATCAAAGTTTACCAATGTAAACATTCAATTTAGGACAATCTCAATTTACATCAGTTAACAGAATGGCTTGATACATGCAAAATGTGATTTATTATAATTATCTTAATTCTGAAGGAGTATTAACTTTTATAATTAATAATGAAACAGAAAAAATAATAATATGAAATTGTACATAAATGTGATTAACACATCTTTCCATTCTGCAGTAAATTTCTCTGATTCTGATGCAATCGTGTGAAGCTATAATTAAAAACAGTTTTATGCTAGAGTCCCTTTAATTAAAAATGTAGAAAATTTTCTTTCTAAAAATTCAGGTAATAATGTGAAGTAAGGAAAAAATTTTACTTTAAAGCTATTTCTTGGAATTTTTCATAAATGTAACATTTTAACTTTAAGTTAAAATAACAGAATAGAATAATACAGACACTAGAAAATGCTTATTAACTCTGCTTTGTAGGGTCATTTTTATTTTATCCTTGTTAAAATCTACAACTTTACATATGAAGGATATATCAAATAGACAAATGAATTAACATCTTTTGTAAAAGCTGTTAGGCTGCTGTTAAGCTCAAACAAGACACTTGATTAATGATTGAGTAATTAACCCTTTAGGGCCACAAACACTCAAATGCACCCACCAATTTCACACAAACACACATACAGATTATATATATATATATATATATATATATATATATATATATATATATATATATATATATACACACACGAAATTATAGGATTGGTGTATACAGAATAAATTCCAATAACCAAAAATACTATTCTTAAAAGAGTGCTCAATACAGAGTAGAACAAATAAAATTTATTCAAAAATTATAATATAAATATGTTATAAAATCACTACAAAAATAGCCATTTTGTTTCAACACTTCTGGTGTCTTAAAAAGTGATGGTGTTGAAAAGATTCAACACCATCACTTGATAAGACACCAGAAGTAATAAATTGTGTGTATATATATATATATATATATATATATATATATATATACACACACACACACACACACACAGACACAGAATTCATAAGCCATTGAATGCACCTACAATCAGGTAGCATTGTATTTCAATACACAGTGATTAACATTCATCACATGATCAATTAGAGGCACCAGAAATCTACAACTTTTACAAATATTATAGATATCCATATCTAATTACCAGCAAAGAGGTTCAATTTGGTATCACTTGAAAGAGAAATCAAGTTACTCTAATATAAATCAATTTTTAAGATTTGATTTCCAATGGTTTTTCAGAAATATCATTTTAGCTGCACTAACATATCACATTCAGAATTTTTCAACAATTTGGTCAGGACTTCAGGGAAATGAAATCTCTTAATGGCCGAGAGGATTATGCAATCCTAATTCTTCAATGATGATTAATTGAACAATGCAAACATTTATAAAAATCGAGGCATCTTATATTATTTTTAAATCAGTTTTTCTTTAAATTAAATTCATAAAATAACATGACTACCTACAACAGAATACAATAAAATACAATCAAGTTTTAAATTCTGATCAATTTTTCAATAAAGAATTTCATTCTAGTACCAAAATATAAATAGTTCAAAACTGGTATGGTTCAGTATTTGGGAGATTGAGTTTAATCAGATATGTAGATTTTAACCTTTTGTTACTGCAGCACTGAAATCAGGGCCTGTGATAAAGAAGCACTGTAAATATCAATTCCAATATAAAAACAGACTTGAGGAAATTAGTTTAAATATTTGAATAATCAATTTAGTGATAAAGAATTTGATTACATCAGGAATTATATGTTATATTAAGCTTATTGGGAATGGTCAGAACATGCTGCATGCCAACTATTTTTTCCAAGTTTGCTAAAAGGGAAACAGTAGGTTTTAGTGAGAATTGAAATTAGTAGACTTGATAAAATGTAGAATATCTGTCTATATTTCTGAGATGAGGTATTATTTACATTATTCGGACTATTGTCCTCATCTTTGTTGCCATATTTATTACAACGTTTTGGCCATTGTATGCTCCGGCCTTCTTGGTTGGAATGTCGAACTGAACCCTTTATTTCGCTCACTGGGGTAGACTGTTCTAGTTCCATGTGCCATGTTTAATGGATGTCAGTTATCAGTTATCTGCTGTTAATTTCCCTCTGAAAGTTCTCCACTTCTCAGCAACTATTTTTACCAGTGCTCATATTGCAATTTTGCTGTTATCATTGCTTTTCTAGAACAGTCTACCCCAGTGAGCAAAATAAGGGTTCAGTTCGACATTCCAACCACCTGAAGAAGGCCGGAGCATACAACGGCCGAAACGTTGTAATAAATATGGTGACAAAGATGAGGACAATAGTCCGAATAATGTAAATAATGTACATAATACCACATCTCAGAAATATGGACAGATACTGAAGGATCAGTACAGACCCAATATACCAAAAATATGGAGACAAATTGAAAAATCCCACCAGAAACTGGCACGATTATTGAACTATCTGACATACCTACACCGATGCAAAGACCTACAATTCATCCCTTCAGGCTTGGCACTAAGACTTCCCGTCAATTCAAGGAGAGCCCGTCTGGTCACAGAGAAAGCAGGACATGCCCTTGTTTGAGAGAGAATCCAGTACAATTGTTGGATAAAACAGAGACTACAAGCTCATATCTCCCAGAGACTCGAGGATTTCTTCAACAGAATTACTTCTGAAGAAAACCAGAGAAGGATCCAAAATGACCTGGATAAATCCTTCAGAAATGAATTTGATGTAGTCAAGGCTCACCAGGGACAAAAATTAAATAGATTGAAATATCAGAAGGTGATGCACAAAGTCCATCACCCACCAGTGAAAGCAGTAGTCAACATCAGCCAGTATCAGCTGAGTGCCTCTGAGAAGTCAGTATTGAATAAGGGTCTCAACTTCGCCACAACCATCAGGCGAGTACCATACTTGAACATCATTACCAGAGTCGAGGAGGTAATTTTGAACATCCCTCAGGCTGAGGTGGATGAACTGAGATGGAAAGTGAGACAGATCTTGAGAGAGCCAATCGCCCAGGTCTAACATAACAAAACTGGAGAATTGGTGATTGGATTAAAACAAAGGAACTAAAAAACATCATCATACTACCGGCTGACAAAGGTAATGCGACTGTAGTGATGGACAAATCAGATTATACAAGAAAGCTGGAAGACCTCATTAGCAATGGTAGCTACAGCAAAGTAAAAAAGGATCCTACTATGAAAACGAAATGCAAACTGTCACAGATCCTAATCAAGAACAAGGATCACTTCGCACCTAAGATGTATAGGCAGTTATCGCAGTGTTACACCAAGCTACCTCACCTCACATATACGGTCTCCCTAAGATTCACAAAGATGGTATTCCACTCAGGCCGATTGTTAGTTGCCAAGGCTCTGTGTGCCACCCTCCGAGTTGCTTCCTTGTAGATATAATTGACCCATTGATCGGAAAGTCTCCTTCATATGTCTGAAACTCCGCCCACTTTGTGGAAATAATCAAAGATGCTCCCATCCTATCCAACCTGATAGTGAGCTTGGACATGGTGAGTTTGTTCACCAAGGTACCCACGGAGGAGGCACTCTCAGTAGTCAGAGACAGATTGACCTCCAACTCTTCCCTAGAAGAGCAGACCAGTATTCCAATAGATAATCTGATGGAGATGTTGACTTTCTGTACACAAACAACACACTTTGGAATGGGATCACACATATATCGACAGGATGAGGGCTTAGCAATGGGCTCGCCATTATCACCAGCAATGGTGAATATATACATGGAATACTTTGAGGAAATGGCATTAGAATCTATATCTCTAAAGCCAACTATATGGTTAACGTACGTAGATGACACCTTCATACTCTGGCCACACCAGGAAGATGTTCAGGTTCTACTGGACCATGTGAACTCAATAAGACCTTCGATACAGTTCACAATGGAGAAAGAGAGTAACAACACACTCCCATTCCTGGATGTTCTAATATCTCGAACAGAGCATGGGTTTAAGACATCCGTATACCATAAATCAACATTCACCGGACAGCACCTCAATTTCAACTCCCACTATCCATACAGCATAAAGAAAGAGATTATCCACTGCTTACAACACTGAGCAAAAGTCACAAGTGGCGACCCAGAGACATTAGATAAAGAACTGGTCAGTATAAGTAGTACCCTACAATGTAACAACTACCCTGGGTACATGGCAGCAGCCCCCCAAAACTGGGATAGGTGGGTACAAGAGGAGGACAACAACACTCAGAAAACAGTCTGCCTGCCTTATGTGAAGGGGTTATCAGAGAAAATACAAAGGATCTGCGGTCCATATAACATCAGGAAAACCTTCAAAAGCTTGACAAAACTTTGCAGATATCTCTCCTGAGTAAGAGCCCCCACCCCCATAGAGGAGAACATGACTAAAGACTGTGTTTGCTATCCTGTGCAGCTGCGGAAAAAAAATATAAAGGGGAGACAGGCTGCCCCCTCAAGGTAAGGCTTCAAGAACACCAGAAAGCTGTAACACGAGGGGAAGTGGAAAAAATCAGTGGCTGACCACATATGGAGAGAGAAGGGAGATCACCGCCCTCTGTGGGATCAGGTTGAGATCATAGACAAGGAACACCATTGGAAAATTCGTAAACTTAAGGAATCAGCACATATGCTAGACCACAAAAATCTCCTGAGCTGACCAAGCATAGAAATGAATACCATATGGGAACCAGTAATAATGAGTGCCAGAGAAAAGCAATAATAACAATGAAAATTCCAATATGAGCTGTGGTAAAATCATACAATGAAAACAGCAAAAATTGCAAGATGAGCACTGGTAAAAAATAGTTGCTGAAGACATTAGATTTATAATACCCAGAAATTCATATACAGATGTCCTCAAGGACACATGGCACAGTGGATAAAAGCATTGGTTAGATCCAGTGACAGGACCCAAAGAGTGTGAGTTCAATACCCGGTTAAGGCAGTGGAGAACTTTCTCCAACCACCTGAAGAAGGGAGATAACAATGACTGACATCCATTAAAAAATAAAGGGCGTGGAAAGATGAGGACGGCCAGTCCAAAATAGTCAGAAAGAAAATGCTCTTAGGTCCATGAATCAATGCAAATAAAAATTTCTCTGAAGAATTAAATTAAAAACAAAAAATTCTGAGGACAACTGATAGGAAAATAGGTAAAAACATTTGACATCAATTGAGAGAAAAATATAAATGGATATAAAAATGGAGTGATCATTTGTAGAATGGTTTTTGTCAATACATGTTCTGAGATGATTGACTTAAACATCAAAAACGCATACAAAAATTGATTATTTTCAATTACTAAAACTCAAAATGATAGAATAGTTTTGTTTTTGCTACTTATATAGGAAAAAGAAAAGACAATGTAATAGCTATCTGTTCTGTATAACCAGAACAGATAGCTATTACATTAACTTTTGTGACAAATGGTTTTTGAGTCTTTCCTTTGTAACAATACAAAATTAAAATTAAATAAGAAGCAAAATAAGTCATAACAAAATTCATGAGAATGAAACAAATGCTATTTTGTATTGATATTTTACTAAGTTTAGCTTTTAACATAAAACAAAAAGGAAATTGGAAAATACAGGATGAGAAAATGTGCTGAGCTATTCTTCCAAATAGAAAAGGCCTGTTTTGAAATCAGTATTTCAAATATCGGCTTTTGTCTAAGCTTGAAAATAGACTGGCAGTGATGAGAAATACACAACTATCTCAACCACTAAACAGATTGTATCATGTAATATTACGTCTTAGAGTAGAAAATATGAAATGATTGAACAGTAAATAAGGATGCAGCTAGTAAAAGTTAGCATTGGCTAAATGGATGAGTTTGACTAAAATCCTTTTGTTAGTTGTTAAGTGTATCATGTCATGCAGACAATAGTATAGATTTCAACAGGATGCAGTTTGATGCTGCGTGAGACAAAAATAGGAATTCAATTGTTTGCTCATTATTTAATAGGCACACAGGCTAAAAAGAAAAATCAGTTCAAGGCAGAATCACGCAGGGGTGAAAAATACAAGTAAATTTCTGTTGAGGAGGGAATTGCATATGTTAATGTCACTTACTCTATTGTCCTACCAAAAACCAACACACATGACATGTGGTGGCTATATGGAAGTAATTGTCATTGATTCTGTAAATCAAAAAAGAAAAAAAAATTCAATCCATTCAAAGATTATCATCCCAAGATATAACCAAAATAAAGTAAGATATAGAATAAGGATGATACATATCATCATTAGTGGTAACTGTTATCAAAGACAAAAAAAAAGGTACTGTTAATGACCAGAGAGTTTTTAATCAACAATAGTAAATGAATGACTCATGAGAAAAATATTACTTTTGTTGACATCTTTAGGTGTTACATTAGTGTTTGATACAGAAAAGAGTCAGGCATAGATAGACAAAGTGAAAGATGATAAGAATGAAACATTGTGAAAGATTTTAAGTCTATAGAGAGACTTGTTTCTTTTCTTTTCAATAGAGAAACCAAAAGATAAAACTTTAAAATTTAATCCCAGTAGATGAACATTTTTTATTTTTAATAATCAAAATGGAATGGCAAGATGAAAAAAGAAAACATTAAAAGATGCACATAAATGTGTCATGATAATGATGATAAAAGAAAGGATGCTGAAATGTGCTCACAGCCCAATTCAATGACCAAATATGAGAATTAAAAAAAAGTCTTCCTGGCCAGCCTAAAAATTATTCAGCACTTTCTTGTATGTTAAAAAATAAAAATTCCTGAAGAAATAGCAATGTTATAGAAAGGGAAACATTCTTTTCTAAAACATTTTTCTAGAATATTAATAAATGCTTGACCTTTGAAATAAATGTACTTGCTATTATTCATTCTTAAGAAAGGAAAACTGGAAGATTACTTTCAGTAGTTTTACATTAAACGTATCTTGAAGCTGATGAGTTGTTGGGCTGTTTACCATGTGCCATACCAAAAGGCATAATACTGCAATGCTTGATGGAAATAGAGGAAAAGGAAAAAGTTTCAACTGACTTGTTTTTGAACTGTAAATTATATAAACCTAGTGGGTGCAGCATTATTATTATTTAAACATAAATTGAAATATACCTATTCATAAAAATAGTTTCAAATTTTGCATAAGGCTTCCCTAACATTCTTTTGTTTTATTCTTTACAGTTTAATTAAATATAGCATCTCAAACAAAACGGGATCAAATTGTCACATTGAAAATGACTCGTATGATGAATTGTGAGGTGATAAAACATTTGAATGTTGGTAGAAAAACTGTTTTTAATATGTGGGAAAAGTTTCAAGAAGAGCAATTCACTTCCAGGAAGAAACCATTCAGTTCAGTTCCTGAAGAGTTATTGACACCGTCAAAAAGAGAATGAAGAGAAATTCACAAAGAAGCATGAAGAGGAAGATGGCAAAAAAGTTGTATGTTTTGGATAGGTCACTAAGGTGTACTTAGGGCTAAAACCATACAAGATTCAAGAACAGCTGCTCTCCAGTGCCTCCAAGCAAAAAAAATGGCTTTTGGCAGGAAGGGGTGGAGAGAGGAAATATTGGAGTAGATGCAGTGTGCTGCAAAGCCTTTGTTTGGTCAGATGAGATGTTTTTTTACTGTGGAGGTGCTGTGGTCAAATACCAAAATGTTAGCATTTCTGACACTTCTTTAGGAAACATTTGTGAAGGTGTCAGTATACATTTCAAGTGAGAGAAATCAAATGGGCTACTGTTGCTTCAGGTGGCTTGAAATTGCCCTGACATTAATCCTATGGACTTTGAGATATGACCCATATTGGAGCTCAACATTTCACTTATCTCATACAAAAGTGAGTCAGACCTGAAAGAAGCTCTTATGACAATTGTGGTACAATTTGAGTGAAGATGGGATGAAGAAGTCATGTACTTCCTTTGAGAAGAGATTTTGAGGACTAAGGTGAAAGCAAACGGTGACTATTTTGAATTGTAAAATATATCTAAAATATTGTAAATAAGTATAACAATCAACTTGTAAACTTTCATTCAACCTAAAACTTGTTATTTTATGATAAAATGAATAATGGCTAAATGTATATGCTGTACCTGAGAGAAATTTAACATGAACATAAGCTAAGAGCAATTCCAAAATGAAATTTACTCATCAAGTAAAGCATAATAAATTTCCAAAGCTCCATCTCAGAATATCAATTGATCTTAAAAAAAAGAAAGAGAAAAATAGACTAATAGCACTGATGGACTTTACCTAAAAGTAACATATTTATTATTTAAGACAAATTTACTCATGTCTTCCATGCAAAAGAAAAAGAAAGAAAAAAGATGGCATTTTTAAATAAATTTTTTTATTAATTATTGTTGTATTATGCTCTTTTAAAGAATCAATCTTTTCATCTCCCACTTGTCATCACCAGTGCTAGGCACAGTACAGCCAGACAGACATTACAGAAACAAAACAACCAAATACCTTATATTAACTGCTACCTGATATTGTCAGTGCAAGGGAGATAAACAGAGTTTTCATTTTGCAATCGGCAACATTAAAAGTTTTATGCATTACTAACAGAAAAATATACAAATCCACTTGGTGTAAAATTTTTTTCTGCTCATTCACATGCTTCATATACACATATAGATATACAAATAATGTTTCACAAGTGAACACATCTGATGAAATTTTAAAGAAATAAAAAATATATGCAGAGAAAGTTTCCTCCTTAATTTATACTTTATTACTTATTATCATATTTTCTTTGGTCATGTTTTCAAGAAATTAGACTTATTATGAACAAAATGATTTGTTATCTTTTAGAAACGTCTATGTTATGTCTGTACATCAATAAGTCTCCACAAAATGATTTTTTATTGGAAGTGAGCATCAGAGTTAGGCAGCTTTTGATGCAGTAATAGCAATGTGCGCATGTGTGAAAAGTCATCTCTGCTAGTGCAGGTAGGCTTTTGTTCATGTCTGGTGAAAGTGAATTTATAATGGTAGGGATTAGGTGTCCGGGGGGGGAATGGTGTAGCTGAAAATTTGCTCTTTCCAATTGTATTATGGTGCTCCCTATATATGTTGGAGTTTACAACAAAATAAATAAGAGGCATTATTTTCAATGTGTGTCTATTTCATATTATTATATACATCATATTTAGTGGATGCATATATGTGAGTAGACATACCATTTTTTTTAAACAATGTAAATGATGTCTACTGGCCATTCAAAAATATTAATAAAGAAATTGTGTATATACACACACAGAGGACAAATTACTGAAAAGTTCTTGGCCTAACCAAGAAGGGATACCCACCAAAAGCCACACACAAACACACACTTCAAAAACAAGCATAAACATTCAATATTTGGAATATTTAGAACTTTGTCTAATACCTGAAAACATAAAAGTAATGTTGAGTTTATCTTCAAAATAATGAAAAAAATATATTTATCTACTACTTACGTGCACATAATGTTCCTTAACTTATCCAGGTTGGCGGGGGTGAAATACCAGTAATTACGGTCACACCGCTGCACATCCTTGTCAATGCGGTGGAGGTTAAGGGCAACATTATCAAGCAGTTCAGGCTGAAATACAAATGATTAAAATTATTTAAAGGTGTCAAAAAATATCATTTATTTGAAAACACAGGATGGAGATGTGTGTGTGTGTGTGTGTGTGTGTGTATGTATGTATGTAGAGTTTGGGAAGAAATATTGAAATACTTAATAGAAAAAAAAAACAGACTTATTTTTCATTTTATCATGGTATTTCACATTTATTAAAATGTTTATATGAAAATAATTTTTTAAGTCAAATGAAAATCTATACAGGCTTTTTTGTATTGACAAAATTATCTTTAAGTTGGAAAATGAATAAAAATGATGAGTAAGAGGGAATAAGAAAAAAATAAATTTATTGCAAGCAGTTATACTCATTTCTTATTGATTTACAGATTAATCAGATGGACTTGTTTTTCTCTAAATCTTCAAGATCTATACTTGATGAAAGTGTGCTGATCAACAAAGTCCTTTCCTGAAACTCATTTTTTGAATCATATTTAACCTGACTTCTTAAAGGAAGAAAAGGTGAAATAAAAGGACAAAGTTGGAACCTGGTGATGTTCACATAAGATGAAAAGAAATGATTTTTTAATAAATATCATTCATGCTTCAAATGCAAACTTAATTCTGTCTGGATTATTAGCATTCTGGTTGAAATCAACAGGAGTTCTTCATCATTTATTTTGCCAGTTATTATGGTGGACGTTATTCAGCTATAATAAATGAGAAACATCCACTAATAATACATTGTTTTCTTTTTTGGTTTATCATAGAAGAGGGAATAAAGTTTCTATTTTCAAGGTGGAAAGTTTTCATCTAGTAAAAATGTGATCTTCCTCAAAGTGTTGGTCATTAGTTTAGATTTCTTTCAATTTTCGTAATGTGACCTGCTTGTTTAGTTGATTTCTGGTTGATCTCACTTTGGTCACAAAAATTCAGCATTTATTATACTGCATGAAAATCATATAAATATTTTAGAATTAATACAAAATTTCTGCTCTAACATTATTCTAAATATGTTCTTTTTATTCTTCTTAGGCATTGGTGCAACCACCATTGATTTCTTAGAAATAAAAGTAATGAAAAAATGTTATAAATATTATGCAGAAAATCAGAAAGAAAAAGACAAAAAACAAATGTTGCAATTTCAATGTCATATCAAGTTCCATCATTTTGTTCAGAAATTAGATAAACAGTCCTTCATATGGGATGGGGAACCCAAGGTTTTTATTATCTCTTGTTTAAAAAAAAAAAATTGCAGAGACAATCTCATTACATTCAGAATAATGCCAGAAGAGTGGGGGTAAATCACCTTAAATGAAAAAAGGGCTTTTAATTTTGATAAAATATTTTCAGGCTAAATAAAATAAAATTTTAAACCTTTCCCAAATAATTTAAACTGGATTAATAACAGGTTTACTAAAGATGAAAAATGCTTTTACTAAGAATGAAGCCACAATGTTAATATCTCTATACAAGGTACGAGCAAAAGTAAAAATTATCCACACTCATAGCACAGATATGTTATGGTGAAAGTGCAGATAATTTTGAATTTGCACTCATAGTATTCAATATGAAAAGCAATATTTATACAATGTAGTATTCAATATGAAAAGTTATATCTATATTGGTAAGTGTCACATAAAAAAGGAGAACAACAATACAGATCAAAACATTCATCTTTACAACATTTCTCATATTTTCATCAATGTCTATTTTACTTGTATGGTATTATGACTGCAATACAACTACAATTAATTAAACTACCTAAACAGCATCAAATAAGTACCATATTAAAGTGTAAGCAGTCTATGTAAGATCATACTGAGGATTAGGATAAATGACTGAACTTGAAGTTGTTATCACAACATTTCAGTGGTTCAATCTTCAACCTTCTCGTAGACATGCAATCTGTGCAGCAAAATGGGAAAAACATGGTTGTCATGAATATACCAACTAGATGAATCCATTTCAACACCAGTAAGTACAAAAATGTAACTTTGCTACCACCAAAGTACCCTGATGATTCTGGACTATATGTACTGTGGCATTGCCTGGTACTATTGCTCAATAAAAACACAGGGTGTTGAAATCCATACAAACTCAATTTATACCTATATATGCAGCTGCCTTCAACTTGTTTACTCTTCAACTGTCAATTAACAGAGAGGTCAATTATTCTCAAAATTTTTGTCTCTGAAATTTAGAATCATCTTGGAATTGATCATCTGATGACTTTGTAACTATTTTTTATCACAAATTATGAAGCCTTAAGTAATAAATGTAAAAACAAAATGCTGTGAAAAATATAGCAATTCTGTATCATTTTAAAGCAGAAATTTGTTTTGTATGTTTATTAAATATGTGAATAGATATCCAAATTGTCATGTTCTACTGATGAATGCTATTGATAAAAGAGGATCTTAATTTTTGAGCTGATCATGTAAATGATTCATGTATTATGAGCACTGGCAATTAAAAGGATGATCTCAAAAAAAAAAAAAAAAAAAAAAAAAAACACAACAAATTTATGTTGCTTCAGGTTTTTAAAATATAAGAATGCTGTCAAAAATGATAATGAATTTTTCACAATTCAACACATGAAACTTCATACCACATGGAAATGCTTTCAGAATGCATTTCTCAACATGAAATAAAAATAACAATAAGTATATTCATCTGAAGAAATGACTAAAGTTCTAATGATACCTCATGTCAAATATATAGAAACCTGAACATGACACATGAAAGGATACCTCCTTTTTTTCTATTGCAACTTTCAAGAAACTAGCTTTCAGAAAAAACTACAAGAAAATATAGATATGATACTTCCTTATGCCCCACATTCACATAGTACGATCAACACTGGTAGAATTTACAGCAACAGCATGACTGAGAGCAGCTGTACTTACGTTGGTCCTTAGCGTCCTGTGTTTGACAGCCTAGACAATAGAGATGAAAATATGGTTGGCTAGGCTGAGGCATCATATCAACAATATTGGACGATGTTTTCACTGGAGCAGCACACGACAGCCACCAGAGAATGCGGGTAACAAACCAGTAAGGGCATCGCACACTGACACATTAAGTTTGACCACAGATGGATAGGAAAGCAACAGGAACATTAGTGGGAGGTGGACAAAGAGATGGACACACAAGGTAGATATGCAGTTTGATGATTTTTTTTCTTTTTTTCTACTTAGTTATTTGTGTTGGGCATAGCCTTGGGACATTTGTTCACACTGCACTGTTTTTGCTGTGTCCTGTTATTGCTGCATTTTGTAATTTTCATAAAAATCCCACTTTCCAAGGAAATAAAAATCAGTGTATGGCTAATTTATTCTAATCTTCATATCTGTGTCCAAATGTACATTGTATATACATGACCAGAAATTTCTTGTGTGTTTATACTCATATGAATCCAGCAGAACCAAACTGTTTTTAGCTCATTGTGTCTGTGAAACAGAAAAACAAATGTACCTTTTGTGAATCTCTAAAAGAGAATTGATGAATTGTGTGATTTCTTTTTTTTTTTTTTTTGGCTTACCAACATTTTGTGGGTTATTTAAAGCCAAAACATTTTTCAGATTCTAAGAAGAATTATTTTTTGTAAGTAAATATTGCATTAACAATTTTTTGAGAATAACGATGATTTTTCCAGATACAAGTCCTACTATTTAACTCATAGCTGGAGGAAGGAGAGGGATTCATACCTTTCCCAAGGTTATTTGTGCATAAGTAAATGTAATGAATCTGACTGGAATTTGAACATGGCTCTCCAATTTCTCATTTTGAGCTAAAAGCAGAGAACCTAAAATAAAACTGGTCACAGATATGAGTGAATAAATGACACCTGATGATAATCAGTGAATAGTCTGATCATAATCATTGTGATAACAGAAGAGACAAGTTCAAACAGTCATTGATAATGGCTGTTTAATAAGCGGAACAACAACAACAAAAAGATTATAAAAGAGAACTGCAAAGTAGCATCTGAATAAAATAGCAAAGCAAATAGGATATGAATTGGGATGAAGTATGGATTAGAATCCAACAGAATGATAGGATAAGGAAAAAATAGGAAATGTTTATAAAATTAACGTTTCACTTTCATTTAAGCTTCATCAGAAGAAATTTTTTTTCTTTCTGATGAAACTTAAAAAGCAAAACATGTTAATTTTATAAATGTTTCCTATTTGTTCCTTATGCTCTCATATTGGATATGTAAAGAAGAGGGAAGAAAGGGTAAACAGTGTCCTTCAGATTGAAGCTGTCCAAATAAAGGAGGAGTTAGAATGGCAGGATCCATTATGAAAGGTGCAAGCTCAATCAAGGGACATCATAAACAAGCATTGATAACATTAAAATTGAATTTGAAGTTGATGAACGAGAGAGTGAAAGTTTAAAATAAAAATAAAAAAGACATGACAAATGATATATATTATAATGAATCCTCTGTAACACAGTGCAATCAAACACCAATATTAAAATGCATAAAAAACTTGTAATCTTATTGAATAAAAATAATCCAATTTTTTAAATAATTATCAAATACTATTCACTTTATTTCTGGTTGAATACAACTCAAGTCTTCTGTTTGCATTAAATATTTCCATTATTCTGGAGAGAGAGAGAGACACGCAGAGAGATAGAGAAATGCTTTCGAAACTGAATCCAAGTATAAAATCAATATTCTACAAATTTCACAGTAAACAGATCAATGTCTTGATTATAAATAGATTATTTCTAGTATTTTTAATAGCATATTCATAAGTTTAATTTTAATAGAAATATCAAAGAACTGTAAAGGATTATAATTTTCATAAATCAGCAGAGGATAGCAATGTTGAACGACTCTTCCCGACCAAGCACAGAGTTAGTCAATTTGAAGGTCAGCAGGGTGTGTTCTAGTTCCACCCCAGGAAAGGGAAGCAAACTATTTCCCCCACCACTGCCCATTCTTTATTATCTTTAGACAAAAGGACACAAAGGCACTTTGTGACAATATCATCATCATTTTTAAATTTTATAAGAATAAATAAATTTGGTATATTGGGGAAAGTTGACAACTCCTCATGAAAACCTTTAACCCCCACCTCCTGTCAATGTGATTCAAATTAAAATTGGGTTAAAAAATTTGAGGCCCTGTGCTAGTCCAAATAGAAAGGTATATAAAAATAATAATTCCTTATCTCAAAACTTCCAGTGTGAGTACTGTATATTTATAAATTTCAATTTGGAAGGTGTGGGAGTGGGTATGATGTGAAAGAAAAATCTTAAATAAATGCTTCTAACAAGATTCACATAAAAAAAAAATTAAAATTAAGTTTATGATTTTACAAAGGCAACTATGTAATGTTCTTATTTAAAAGCACAAAGTGTTTTGCTAATGGATGTACCCTACCCCCAGCAAAATATAATAGGTGATAAAAATTATAACCCCAATGATATTGACTGAAACCCTGAAAGTATTTACACTTTTTCAGAATTGTAGCAATGGCAGTTAAATATTTGTTTTTATATTATCAAGTTTAAACTATAAGATGCTTTTGCCATAAAGCACTTAAAAAAACAAATTCTGAAAATGTACATCTATTTCCAAATTGTAATTTATCAAAAGCATATGTTTATACATCTATGTGATCAAATGTCTGTTGTGAATGTATATTTAAATCTATTGAAATACTTACAGAGTAAATGCCTCCATTTGAGGCTGGGGAAGCAGGGGAAATGAGACTTTCCTTTGATGCAGATAAATGACGAGCATTTTCTATAAAAGGTAAATTAAAAACAATTATCAAATACACACTTAATTCTAATGCAACAAAAACATTTAAATTATCTATATTGAAAAATTCTAATAGTTTATTGATCAGAAAACATTCTTACATTCCAATTGTAATTCTAAAACTAAGACTAAAACAAGTGTTTTACATCCGAACCTGTTTGTCATCATGGTACATAAATATGCTCACTTTTGTATTATTTAGTCAAGTGGAATGTTCACAGATGATCCACTGTAGCTGCATGGGAGACTTTAGGATTCTCTATCTTTGACAAGTGTAAGAATATTAAAAAATAAATGGAACAAGCTCTTGATACATCATAAATTCACAATAATTAAAGTTAATTTGTTGCTTTATTATTATGATATTGTAAGAATGGATTTTGAAACAGGAAAAACTGGGTGCCAACAGCTTCAACTTAAGGAAATTTGTAAACAAGATCTCATATTGTTTAATATCAACCCTTTTACCTGGAAAATCACTGTTCAATACCATCCTCAATGGCAGCAGCCAATCTGCAGTGGGCTGTTGATATATGAGACTACCTTGGCTCATCACAGAGAGGCCAAAATAACAAAGAGGAAGTGCAAACAGCAGGAGGGCATCACCACTACATTGAGACTTGGGACATCTGTGGCCATGCTTGCACATCACACATTAGGCTTTGCAGCCACATGAGGCACTGCATGACATGAAAATCTGACTCAAGCATGGAAAAATCTATGATTTTTACAGAGTGCGATAATGCCAATGACTATAAACCTTGTTGTTACAACATCAGAATGGAGGCTAACTGGCCAAGTGATGGTTATTGACAGAAATTCAGTAAGAAGGAAAATTCTTGTTTCAATAGCAGAATGGATGAAATTCTGTAGCAACACCTGTCAAGTATGTTAGAGAAATTGATTTTGTGGAAAATAAAGGAGAAAAAAATGACTAATAAGTACAAGGTTATCAAATTACATCATAAATGATGGAAAAAATGCTAAACTTACATTAGAAATAGTTCACAACTACAGGATATCCAGTAAAAAAGTGGTAAATTCAGAAAGAAATTTATTTAGCTATCATGATTTATGCCCAAACTGAACAATCATCATAGATATTCAACACAAATTTGTAAGCATGGTAACCAGGAGGAGGCAGTAGCTTTATTCAAGGTCAATTATTCATGAGAGATAAAACATTGATAATAAATTTGCCACTTTTTTTACCCTGTATTTTTAAGTGAAATAATTTTTGCAGCTACTTTTGATAAATAAATGTACAAATAATAGTTGTAAACTTTTTTAATTTATAGAAACATAATGTATGAGTAGCAATCCTGTTATTATTTATGATGCAGACTCTAGACATTTAATGAATTTGTACCTTATGACTTTTCTTTGGTTATTTTATGAATATGAAACTAAAACAGTTCATGGCTGATATCTGAAATGGGTTTTCTTTACAATAGGTGAACAACTGGTAATTAGTTTCAACACTTGAAAATTAATTTAAAAAGAGAGATCAAACAAAAGTTTAAGGTATAAAATCTCTTACCAGATCCTGTAGAATTAGTCATATTGTCATTTTTTTTGTCATTTGGTTCTTCATCTTCAGGAACCTCATTCAGATCCTGGCTTTGGCTAAGTCGCTGAGCCTCACCAGACTCCCCTCCGCTAAGATCATCATCCACGCCAGCACTGTCGATGGACGTTTTTGTCACAATTATACCACGATCTCGATCCAAGCTGCCATCATGCGTCAGCTTGGAAGCATCGGTGCTTTCTGAATCCCCAGCAGAATCCAGCTTGGAACGATCTGGGAGAGACCCCGGGCGAGCTATGGAATCCCCAAGACCATCGTCGGGGCTGCTGTCAGGGACGTCGTTGCCCTCACTGTCACAATGCTCTGCATTGTCGACTTCCGTTTGAGTGTCATGGTCTGCTTTTGGGGCATAGTTGTAAATCTCACGGCTGCTCCATTTGCGTTCAGCAGTTGGGGTTGTACCTGCAGTTGAACTCTCTTCAGGGAGCGTTTCAGGGTGGGACGAGTCTTCAGAATCAAAAAAAAAAAAATGAAAACATCATTGCTGAGGTTTTGGAATAAGACATGCACCAATGGAATTTGACCAAATTTTCTGAGGACAGTTTGGCCAGATTGGCAGCCATTATTTCTTTGTCTCTTTGTCGGACAATAGCCTCAACGGCCAACCACTCTGACATTGTCTGCTCATAAGCAGTGTGCACAGCAAGGTCTGCTGCTTGCCGCTCTTCTTCACTCCCACTGAACTCATAGTGACCTAACAAATATGGCCAGACCTGTAAAGAGAAAAATTCTCATTAAAATAAAGAAAACAAATCAAGATTGACATCAAGTCAATGTTTAATCTAACTATAGGAAATGAAACCTAAGAAGTTAGTGATTACTTACCTCTTTCCGAATTTCATGAGTAACACCACCATAATAAACTAAGCGATACAATTCATCTGGATTAGCAATCTGAAAAAAAGAATTAAAAATGTTCTTAGTGCTGTCCAATTAAGAAATAAATGCAGAACTGTTTTAGTTTTTTTCTTTTACTTCAATGCTGTTACCATGAAATCCATGATTCAGTTTGGGATATTTTCTTTCTTCTAAAATACTGAAACTGTTAATTTAGGTACCTCCACGAGAGCGCTAAAAAAAGAGCATAGCATGATGAAAAAGACGCCAAACTTGACGAAAACAAAATTTTATCGTCTAAATGTTTGTTATTATTAAGAGGAAAGGTCAAAGTATTTTTGGGGTATTTTTTCCATTTTTTAATCGTTCCTAGCACGTCCGAAATTTTCGTTAAAAATCTAGTTTTTTTGAGTCAGCAAAATTGACCATTTTTTTCCATTTAAAAAAAAAACTGGAAATCTGACTTTGAAATTTATTTAAATATCAATTATCATTTTTCAAAACTTATTTTAAGAAAATCAGAAATTATAATGTTTATTTAAAATATTTTGAACCAAACTTAACTTAGCTTTTGTGCCAAAAAAGATGTAATTTGAAAATAAAACAAAGCAGGTCATAAACTTTCGCGTCTCTTGACATGTGATGAATGATATATTTACGAATTTCATGAGGCTAATTTGTTCTACGGAAGGAGAAAAGTGAAATAATTTACATTTACGTGAACAAATTATTTACCCTGTTTTTTTTTTTAACGAAAAACTTTCAGCGGTCTAATTTTTTTTTTTTTTTTTTTGTACTTAGCTTTCACCTTTACGTTTATGATGCTTTTTATGGGAAATATATTGAAGTAAAGAAATTAAAATAAAACTGCTAAGAGTGACATTAAATTTCATATTTCTTAAGAAAGGTATCTAATTAATTCATAGGTACCTTTCTTATGAAATTTTATCAGAATTGTACATAAAATACTATAATTTTATGTACATTTATTACATTCTACTGTTATTTGTATTTGCATTCATTTTATTATTAATTTTTAGGTTTCATTTATGGTAAAATGTCATAACTGACATTAATATAAAAACAAGATCATATAATTTTCATAAGATGATACTGATACTTCTCAGTTGAAATTGAAAAATCAAATTAACTTCTCCACACGTGTTTCGCAAAAGTAAAGGCCTTAACAGCGGAGAACAATGCTTAACTCAAATAACGCAACTTAATTATATTCTGGTTGGTCTTCCGTATTTTATAATTACAGCTCGATTATAAGCACAAAATTACATTTCTTAATTACTGGGGATCTTCTGATTAGTCAAAATGATACAATTTACAACGCGCTAAAAAAAAGATCTATCTCATAAGGACACTTATGAAAGCCTGTGCGGCTTTTAACTAATTTTATAATATTTTAACAACTTAAATGTAAAATCTATTATAATTAATGAAATAACAAATAATTGTATTAAAAATTCATTTTTCATCGAAAAAATTTTTTTGCTTTCAGAAAATATTGTCCATATTCATAAAAACAACTAAAAGCAAATAAAAGCATTTGAAATTAAATAATATCTTTGTTTTATTGAGTTTTGTATGTTACAATTCAGAGCTGATTTTCAGGTACTGCGTATCCAATTAAAAAAAAAAAAAAAACATGATTTGCATTCCTCAAAGCCCTGTGCTTTTAATTATTGTAATCACTAAAACCGATGCGATCGAATTTCTAGCGTTTTCATAAAATTAGTTATGGGGGGTAATAAATATTTAAAAAAAATATTTCTACCATGACTTTCATAAAAAAAAAACATATTTATAATAATTTCGATCATCTGTGAATAGTTCCTGAAAGTTTCATTAACATCCGATAATTATTTCTATTTTTGCACGATTTTTCAAATTAATGTGTGTCATACAAAAAAAAACGTGCTAAAAATTGTCTATGTTATTTACTAGTTCCGCTGATACAAATAGAAAAAAGGTTTTTTTTAATCAAAATTTAGAATGTTCTAAAAAGAAGGAAAATTTTTTTAAAAATAATTAAAAAAAACTTTGGTCTTTCCTCTTAATAATAACATAAGCATTTAGACAATAAAATTTTGTTTTCGGCAAGGTTGGCGTCTTTTTCATCAAGCTATGTTCTTTTTTTAGCGATTTCATGGAGGTACCTATGTTAATTACATAACAATATTTGAAATATTTGTTAATTGTTGAATTTGTTTTGATTATTTACTCATTTACTGAAAAAAAAAAAAAAAATATGGTCAAAAAAAAAATCTGTTAGTTAATCACAACTCATTCATTACAATATGCCCAATCATCATGAGAACTTATCCATCACCTTTCAATCCTACATATACCACAATACCACAGTCACAGGGGACCTACAAAACACCCATGACATAAAAATTCAAAAAACGTTAAAATGTTTTGTTTTTTTTTTAACAAAAATATATAAAAATTTATATAATAATGAAAATTACGGGGGAGGGAATGAACTAAAAAATACAACAAAATATTTAAACTAAAACAAAACATATGTTAGTAGGACCTGTCCAGCCCTCAGAATAATAAGAGTGGCCACTGTATTGTGCCATTTGACAGAGTCAAGCAGCATACTCATTAATGGAGTGGGAAGAAAAATTAAATGGTGGAGTGGGAAAAATCAAAGTCTGACCCAGTTGAGATGAAAAAAAGGGGACAAACTGGGGAGGCTGGAAATCTCAACATGGATCATAATGAAAGAGAGTGCTGGGAACAGGCCAGAAATATCATTTATTCATATTAACTAGGAAAACAAATAGTTAATGACTTAACTAGGAAAGGGTTCATAAGAAACTGCCCTGTTTCATTAAGAAGGGAAAATCTAGGCTAGCCCCATTTATGTGAACCAGGATGCCATAGATATCGACCTTTCGCTGAAATCTGATGCCCAAAGAATCCAACCAAATCCTGATGAGAATAATGCTCATATTGCAAGGTTCCCTCTCATTTACAATGACCACACCACCATTCTTGTCACGGTTAGCAACATTAGAAACAACATCCGTTTCACCCCAGAGAACAGGGCAACACATTATCACATGTGTATGCAAGATAAATGGACACAAGCTGATCAGGAGCGATATGAGCCATCAACTTGTGGCCAGACCCAGAAAGGGTGCACATGAGGACGATGGTAGAAAGTGTGTGCAGCCATTTCTTCTAAGCCAAGGTTACATTGATGACAATCAGGCAAATCTACCCTGCCCCATCTGAAGGCTACATTATTGAGAGCATGTTCTGAATCAATTACCAGGTAAGTGAAAACTCATGGTTTCTGAGATAGTCTGCCACTGATGTCCATAACCAGAAAGAGCACAACTCTGATGCTGACAAACCAAGCCGGCCACAAAGAAGGTCCTTAACGACCATCCTCCACTAATACACGATACAATAGCCTACAAAGGTCACTGGACTGAGGAATGAAAATCTGTCCAGGAATGTCTACAAAACATTTGTCCCTCCCCTTTTATAGGCAAACACACTCAAATGCATGCTGGGATTTTTTCTTAGCCAATAAAATAGGCCAGTTTGCAATTTGACATGACTCAGTCCCGATCTGCCTTGTTTAGAAGACACAACACTACGTTCACTTGTCCGAACTTGCTTTTGTGTATCAATACCAATTCTTAGTTTGTGAACTTTTTGCCTTCTTATTGTTAATTTGTCTTTCATATATTGTTTGTTTGCTTGCATGATATTATTTCATTTTTGCCCTGTTCCTTTTTCTTTTTATTGTAAACTTATTGTTAAATCTGTTTGTTGGACAGTTCTGATATTTATTTTATATTTGACCATGGCTACTCACTCCACACAACTGTATACATATATCATGCAATCCACTGTCAAGATGAACAATGGTGTAACAGCTTTTACTTGCTACAGCATGAAAAGATAAGGTAGGTATGAGAGTGATTTCCTCATACTTTTACTCTTTTCCATCAACATACCAGTAAGGAATCATTTTGTCAACATATCTGATAATGAAATAAAACAATAAAAAAATGTTTGAATCTGTCAATTTTGCTTTCTCTACTCAGATCTCTTATTCAACCAAGAAACTTGAGCAAACTGAAAATGTGCTCTATATCCCCCTCTGCCCCTCTCTTATACAGACATTTTGTAGGAATATGTAAAAAAACATGATTTACCAACTATGGTCAAGCTTCAGGTGCTCAACTTAATTATCAATAGTAAATGTGTTCTTGTTATAATGCATCTATTGCTAAATTCATGACATGTGCTCTAGAGAACGCATTTTTAAATTTGCTAAATTCCTTATACAATAAATGGACAAAAAATTGGAATCTGATAGCGATTAATGACAAGTGAGATTTTTATCATTTTATATGACAACAGAAAGAAAGAGATAATAAATTGGGCAAATATTTTAGAATTCTTTAAACAAATGCTTTCTTTTCAACATGAGAATATTACAAACAGAAAAATGTTCTTGCTCCATAACAATAGATGAAATCACTAAGCAATTTCATTTAATAATAGAATAATTTATTTCCACAATATTAGAATATTATTTGCTTTCTATGTTTATTATTGCTGTGCAAAATAATTATATTGATGATGCAAGAACCATGCATTGTATAAAGCAAATGGAGAGAGAAAAAAGTTCAGGGAACAGTAACCAATTTACCTTTCCATCTTGGCAGATTTCTTGCCATTTCTCAGGAGTAAGTCCCAGGTTGGCATTACAAGGGTGGGTAGGTGAGACAATGCTATGGTGAACCAAGCCAGACAAGTGTGTACGCACAGTCTTCAAATGACGACAGTGTGCCAACCCTAAAATAGAATACATAAACACACACACACACACACACACACACACACGATAAAAAGAAAAAATATAAAAGTTACAAAGAACAAATATAAACGTTACAAAGAAAAAATATAAAAATTACTATTTTCTTTAAAACAAGACAACGTTTTTTAGTAACACAAATGAACTAGGCAAGATGCCTTACATAAAGAACTCAAAGTGAGTCAGTTGGGAAGAATTCTAATGTTGTCATGGTGGGTAGCCTAAGCAAGACATAATATTATAATCACTAGGAGTGTGTTATAACAGTTACAAAGAAAATGAAAAATATAAAGCTAGCAAATAAGAAAATAAAATGTGTGTGTGTGTGTGTGTATATAGTAACTTAGTATTTAATTTAGTCAATTCATACATAAACAAATTGTAATCTTATTTTAAGATTTTATATTTATGATAGCCATGTTTTGATCACAAGATAGATATTGGTGTTATTAGTGTGAAGCACTTAGATAATGTGAATGCGATCTTTGTTATGCATTCTTTATTCCTAAGTTTTAATCTCACAGAAAAGTGCTTTTCAGTATTGTGTATCCATGAATTTGGTCTTATTGGAAAGTCAAATGAACAATTTTTTACCATTATGCATATGCACAAACATGTATATAAGGCAATTATTGTAAACATATTTACATTGTAGCTTCTAAAAGGATATTGAATTCATATGCTGATGGAATATAATCATACAATGTTGCTAAAATATAAACAAAAACAGTCTTTTTTACTCTGTTTATATTTCAGCAATTCAACAAAGAAATTACAAAATTCAAATATTTGATATTTTAAAAAGGTTTACAAATAAGAAACTGATTTGTGCACAAATGTAAAATGCAATTTTTTTAAAAATTGCTTTAAATTCTTTCAAATATTTTGAATAAATTACTGACTTTTTATTTAATTTGTTTCTTTATCCTAAAATGGTTGTGAATTATATTTATTGACAAGCCTACATATGTAAAAATTTAGTCTTTTTATGATATTATCCCAATTATTGCAAGTATTTACATGCACTGTAAATCAAGAAACAACTTTATTCAGCCAATAACTGTTCTTGAGGCTGCCATAGTGATGAAAATAAATTCTAGAATTAACTGCCCAGCTTGAAATATAAAAAATGTCATGAGAAAGAAAGAAAGAATGTAGTTATATACCTAAGAATCAGTAAGTAGCATTATTATTTGTAATTAGAACGAGTAAATAGAGTTATTTGGTATTTACTAATTCACTTATAAAATGTTTTTAAATTAAAAGATCCTATTTTGAAAAAGGAATAATCTTAAAAATTAATTTTCCATTTTTCCCATAAATACCTGAAATGATTTTTATCTGAATCGAATATATGATTTACAGTATTTATGGTTGTAGAGGTCTCAGTATACAGCAGTTGAATCCTCATTAAGTGTTCTCTATATTTGGCCTTGTGTAAACTTAGTGTGACACAATTAAAATTAAAAACCTGTACATAATCTATGTATCACTTTTAGAATTATTGGGTTACATAAACATAACAGAGAACTTTCTGCCATATATGCAACATTTTGACATTCAAAGATTATCTAACAGATTTCTTTTATTATTATTATTATTATTATTATTAATTAGGTTTTGAAAGATTTTTTTCACTTTCCTTATATGATTCAAATTTTGGTGATTTGATTTTTTTGTTCCTTTTATTCCTTTCCAAAATGATTTATGCAATGAACAATAAAGATCTTTCAATAAGAATTTGACATTAATTTAAAAAGCAAATTCAAGTCATTTGATAAAAAAGGCATTTTCCAAATATTTCTTTCTTTCAGGAGTATGCATGATTTTATAATTTCTTAACCAGGATTATTTTTTTCAATGTGTAACCTCTTTTTCAATATTAAATTCAACCACAAATTTTGAATTAAATAAAAACAAACATATGGCATCTTCAGAAATTGAACCCATAGGATGTCCCAAGAAAATATTTATGATTAATGTCATTTGTTAATTTTTGTAAATAATACAAAAGTCATTTGTTCTATAGGAATACTTTTAGGATCCTTTGTCCTGATTTCTAAAAAAAATTACTGTGTCTCTTGAAAAACATATTTTGAATTTAAAGGTTAGTTAAGCTGATGGAAGGTTTCAAGAATTTTTTAAATGTAAAAAAATATTATTATTAAAAGAGTTGAGGCAATTTTCAATAAAAATAATTTTGATTGATGAAGATAGGAAAGAAGAGACAGAAGAATATTTGGGGCAAATTTAGCAATTCATTAAATCTAATAAAATATACTTACATCCATAAAAGGCTCGTGATATGATTTGATTCTTCATTGTATCACACAGCTGTTTGATTGTGGCTCTGCTTGGAAAGAGATGACAACCAAACTATTCAATATGTCAAGGAGAGGATTACTAAAACTTCAGAGAACTCTTTTTGTTTTTTCACTCTCTTCTGTTTTTTTCATCAATCAACCGAAAAAACTAAAACATAATTTGGTAAATAGCATATTCATTAATATCTCCATAAATGTAAATAATTGACAAAGCTGATTTTTATTTAGCTTCTCATAGTCGTTACCAAACATTTATCTTTGTTAGAAAGAAATTATTCAGATAACAGTTAGGATTTTAACGACATCTTTTGCAGTTTATTTGTAAGCTTTAAAATGACAACACTAGATCAGCAAGTTTCTAAACAATTTCTAGCTTATGTTATGTTGACTTATCAAATTATTGCTTTTACGTTGATGAATGCAGTCAATGCTTAAAAAGTCATTCAAAATTACAGAGCTCTAAAATATATTTTAATTCCTTTAAATGTATAAAATGATGAATATTTTTCTCAGAGATAATGTAATTGATTTAAATAGTTCCCTAAATTTAGAAGAGGGACACAGATATTGATTTGCCAGGAAAATATAGTGCCAAATATAATTTTATTTAATAAAACCTTTCTAACTTGGCAAATAAGTAATGATAATTTTTTGAAAACATAACTGTCCTTTTATCACCTTTGTGTGTGTGTGTGTATATATATATATATATATATATATATATATATATAGTTATCTATATCATTATCATAAAAAACTACAGAAATAAATTGATTTTAACATTAAATACATATTAAAATAGATTCAAATTGTGGTTGATCTTGATTTTCACTTTACCTTTATTGTATCTCCAGTATCCAAAATGAGAGAATCATTTAATCATGTACATATACTTCATACTTAAGCAAATTGTATAAAAAAAAGTCAACCACTTCAAACTAGAGATGAAGAAAAGAAAATGCAATCTGAACTGAATCTATTGGATTTTATTTTTAAAAGTTATTGCGAGACAAAAAGGTGTAAGAAAATGAGCTCTTCAGATAAGAAACAATGAAAACAATTATTTCAATAATAATAATAATAATCTGGGGATAGAACGGATAGAAGAGAAGAGGCTATGACTTTCAGTGTTTATCAAAAGGACCTATTTACCTGTGATTGGCTGCCACTCGAGAGAGGCAAGAATTGTTTTGTTCTTCCTGTGCACGAGCATATGACTGCATGGTTGATTGAGAAGGTGGGATTGGGTCAACATTTTGAAATGGCCATGGGAAATTGTCCATCTTCACATTTAACTTGGGATCCAACATTTCTGGAGCTGGAAAAAATCATTAGTAACTAAGAATCAAAGAGAAACTCTAGCAATATTAAGTTGTAAATAAATTAAATCAAATAAATCATGCAAATGTGTTAGAAAAAGGAGTTATGTTGTCAAATTATGATGGCATTTAATCAGCATTAGTTTATTATGATTACTTTCTATCTATTCATCATTATTTATTATCATTACTTTATGATATCAGCATTAGTTTATTATGATGATGACGTCTAAACATCATTAGTTTATTATGATTATTTTATAATGGCATCTAATCAGCATTAGATTATTATTATTATTTTATAATGGCATCTAATCAGCATTAGTTTATTATGATTATTTTATAATGGCATCTAATCAGCATTAGTTTAACCAGTGTCTGAAGTGGGGTTCACCATTGACTAGTGAGGTCACAACTTTTTGTTGCTAGTGCCTGTTCATATAAATTAGTTGTGAGAAAGTGATTTGCCATAGTACTCATACATCCATTCTTCTCTATCAACCATTGTGGCATAACAGTGACAAGGCATTTTGACATTTAGTTATGTGAGAACACAGGGAGAAGTGCATACATGCCTTTGCCAATGTAATTAGCATAAAATGAATATAAAGAGCCTTAACTAGAATTTGTATCAATTGGCTAATTCCTGATATATCCCAGCATAGGCCCAGCTTAGCTAAAGTTTATGTAATTATTAAACAGACAAAATAGTAAAACCAAAGTAAAATGAATTCAATCATATGCTCGGTTCTCCATACTTGTACATTGTACCTGTAGCTTAGTGAATACTAATAATTATTACAATGCAGTACAAATAAAATTATCCTGGATTTTGTTTATATTGCTCATCTGAATTAGGAAGACAATTCTCCACCCACTGATGAGCAATAAGAATTGTAGGATAAAGCCTAAAATTTAATACAATTTATTTTTTATTTCACAAAGGCTGAATATAAGTTCAATAAGCATGCTTAGAAGTAATATTTTTAATTCAATAAAGGGACATGAACGATTTTGTTAATATTTCAGTGTTCATATTTTCAGAAAAGTATCAACTAGTAATTAATTTTACTTTTTATTTATAGAAGCATATAGATGTTAAAACAAGCAACAGAGTGAAATAAATAAAAATGTCTTATTTCTCAGTTAGAAATAAGAACTGATCCAGTGTTTAAGATTAAAAATATGCAGATAAATCTTGATTCAACTGTTCATATCTATGTGATATGGTATACCAAATTGATATAGCCAGAGAAACAGAAAAGTAGACAAACTTTGGAGAACAGCAGAAGAAAAGCATTAAATCATGTTCCTCTAATTATTAGAGACACGAATAGTGTAACATGGTTAGCCACATCTTAACAAAAAGAGGGGGGGGCGGTCACAGAAAAATTAAGAGGACCTGTCAATGGGAATAAACTGTAGCCCTGGTTTTTGTTAATTTTTTACAATTTGAACAGTTTATTTTGACTCAAGCCACATGCTTTTACCATCTCGTCTGTGCTCACATCAAGCCATGAAATCATTCACAGAATTTATAACTTACATTTACATAAAAAAATGTCGATATTCCAAAACTTAAAAATGAGAGAATGAAAGTTCATATTGTATAAATAAACCAGATTTTTCCGTTTGGATTTTTGAAAAACCCAACTGATGAACCTTTGCCACTGTGTGTCTACAGATTCACACTTGTCATTTGAACTCCTGCTAGTCATTTCAGAAAAGTGTTTTGGATCTTTTTCATTTAACAATGAAATGGGAGACAGGATGACAAAGTGGGGGGAATAAAAGATGGCTAATATAAAATAAATATGAGCCAATTATTAGTATAAGTTATAGTCTATTTCTTATAATAATAATGGAATTGAAGTAGGTAAATTGAAACTATCTGCTTAAGTAACCTGGTCTTATTTTTTGTGACAGTCATAGACTTCAATTGCTTTTATTGAAATTCAGAACCCATTAATGTAACAAACAAACCCTAATATCTCTTACGTATATTATCTGGCTTGAATGTTGCCACAATACGGAATACATAGTCTGTGGCTTCTTCCTCATCAGTGCTGGAGCTGCTGGTGCTGCCTTCTTTGGTAGGAATTTTGTTGCCTTTACGTCGCATCTTTGGAAAGACTTTCCCTAAGAAATTAAAGGACAAAGTAATTGAAATTGAGAAATATATTTGTTGCACATGTGCAACAAAGATATTTTCATATATAAAGTAGCTAATAGATGGAATATTCCACTGAATTCTCTACTAAAATACTAGAAAGAAAAGAAGAAAAAAAATGAAACAGAAAAAATATTACTTTGGTTAAAAAGTTTTTATTTTTGTTATGAGATAAGCTAACTTCATTCAAAAAGATAGTGTTTCAGTGTAAAATTACCAGAATTGGTACATTTTTATTGAAGATAGAAGAAAATAAGAATTAATATTTTTTTTTTTCATTTTAAGAAAGGTAAAAACAGGATTGAAATGAAAAAAATATACTTGAATTATTTGAGTTTATGGAAAAGGTACTGTGAATGATCAAAAGGGTCACAAAGTTTCATGATGGAGATTTTTCACTAAATGGTGCTCGCCAGTTGGCATGGTTGATAGCAATCAAATGAAGACATTAGTTGAGAATTTTCAACATTATTCAATGCAGATTGCCACCAACACACTCAAAATATACAAATCAAACATTGAAAATAATCTGTATCAGCTTAATTATGACTTGTACATAAGCAAAAATACCTACTGAACTGTATTTAAATGTTCTGTTTAGAAACAATGTAACAAGCAATGAGAAATGAATGTAATACAGAATTGTCTTGAGGGAAAAAAATTAAATTTCCTGGAAAAGTACAAAAAGGTACAAAAGAGCAATTCTTTCTGAGAGAACAAAATTATGAAATTGCCAGTAAAATGGCAGAAAACAGTGGAACAAAATGGTAAAGATGTTGCTCAATAAAGTTAATTTCAAAAACAAAAACACATCTATTTTTAATTAATAAATCAAACAAACCTTTTATATTAGCCAATGGCAGTAAAAATTAAAAATATTTCTGTTGAAAATTTGTTTACTTTCACTGCACATAAGTCATGGTAAGTTCTTTAGAAAGTTTCAATATTTTGGAAATGAAAATTAAATTATATAATACTAATATACAGTTAGGATTTTAAAAAAAAATAGAGGATGTAATATAATAAAGAACCGAAAATGTAATAAACATTATGTAGAAGATAAAAGAATAATAATAATTATTATTATGAAGCATGATTTCCTTTGTATTTTATCAGTGTAGTGGTAGTCATTTATTTTGTCTACCGAGAGTTGCTTGGGCATTTATGTAATCTATACATTAGCTATGCTAATTAGGCAGTCATTTACATATCACTACAATAATAAATGTTTTTACCTTTTCCACGTTGTGACCAAAGAGGCGGATCAAGCTGCCCATGAGGTAAGAGACCATTTTCCAGACAGGATAAAAATGCCAATAGATGTCCACCTTTGGGAAAATGAATAGGCGGTCTTTGAACACCATCTTGACCAACCAACACGATAGTGCCACCACAATCAGCTAGAAAAACAAATGAAAGAAGCAATTTAAAAAGATGATGCAGAGAGAATTAAAGAGATATTAAAATATATATCACATTTTAGTGAAACCTTGTAGACTATCTGTTGAGATTAACAATCTCAAGCTGTAAATTTGGAAATTCATTTATCCTTCTTGGCTTGATTAAATGATAAATAAACAGAACAGACTGGAATGTAAAGAATTTGACTTGAAGCTGTAAGGAACCAAAAGAGTGCAACAGAATAAAGCAACCAGTCACCCTGACATTTACTGGTTAACATATTTGTATTTTCTTTCTTAAGTGCCAGTTTCTCACATTAAACACACATTGTGTTTAACTAAGGAAGTTATAGCAGTTACTAGATATACAAATAAATAATTCCAATGTTACTGAACAGATCAATGAAATTATTGCAACCTGCATATCACTGTACCTTAAAATATAATCATAATCCTTTTCTACAACAAGCAGTCCATGGGGCCTACTAAGTTTTCCCATTTGCAGAACAATGAAATTGATTAGCATATACATTCCTTTGATGATATTTATGTCCGCCAACCATGATTGGAGGGAACCTGATTTACATCTCCATTGACCTCATCCAGTGGAGAGGCATATTTTTTTTTTCAATGAAAACAACAATTCAACTTGGTTTTTAAGGTATGTCACCATTATCCTCAGCACCCCTCCATATCATGATTACAATCACAGATATTGGTTCAGGGCTTTGAGTTGCATTCTCTGACTACCACCCTCACATCTGCCTTCAAAACTACAAGATGAATTTGCTTTCTGAAGTATGATGCATGTGACACCAGGAAGCCCATTTTAGCAGTGTACAGTCATTATTAAGTTGAGACCAGGTGCATTTACTAATGTGGTGCTGGTAGGTTGGATTGGTTTTCTTACTGCATCTAGCCATTTTTGTGAGACTCGTGCCAGTCTTTCCATTAAGTTTTGGTCTTATCTCATAATCCCTACTTATTCACTAACTTCTCCAGAGTACTGAGTCATCTTCATATGAGGCTTGGGTACTTGTGGCTTTTGTGTATTCTCTGGCTTTTACTGTGAGAGTGTTGCATACCCACTGCTGGACACATGCAGAGCCTGTAAACAGATGCATTTTGGTTTTGCCTCACTGGGGCACTAGGTTGTCTCCTTTCAGCATGGGTATCAAGCTCCACCAAATTGATGTACTGCACATCCTTCACTGGATGCAGCTCTGAGATTCAGTGAGGCTCTGGTGGCAAGACTCACACCTCCAATATGTGTCGATCTATGCACCACTTGCTGCACGTAGAGTAATTTTGAATTACTCTAGCAATAAGTTCTGTAATCATGTTTTTAAGAAAGGTTCAGGCACCTCAACACTTCAACCAGTCATGATTGCTGTTGCTCTAGGATGTGTTATTCTCCCCAGACATCAAAGCCAAACACTTGAGCATCACTTTTTAACCACTCTGGCTCCTTAATGTCAACCTATAGTTGGCTAGAGGTTGTTGTACATGTACTACAGATGCAATATTTTCATTGATATATATGTCATCTATATATGCTGATCTTGTCTGTTGAGTAGTGTCATCTTTTGAAAGTACTGCATCCAAGATTGATTTCATTATTGCTGGCACTATGTTCAGTCCAAACCACATTTGGATTATACAATATCTCTGCACCTTGAAGAGCATAAAAACGGCCACAGCAACTCGTGTACACATATTTGCAAGTAAGCATTATGCAGGTCAAGGATGGAGACATTGGACCCTTTTTGTCACCAATCTGTCAGCTTCTGTGCACACACACATTCATATCATCTATGTAAGTGTCTATGTATTTGGCCAGCTCACAGTAGTCCAACATGGGATGTACCTTCCCCATATTCTTTTGCACCACTGCTATCAATATGATTAGGCACTTGGAGGGACGTAGTTCTTTTTCAGGGTAAGTTAGCAAACATCTATTATCAAGCCAAGCCTCCAACTCTTGTTCATATTCTTCTCTGACTTGTTTGAACATGGGATACTTGGACACTGCATTTTGCAGTCACTCCAGTGAGTAGCCATTTGTCCATTTCCAGGTTACAGCCCAGATCTTTGTGCCTTTCTCAAGTTTGGCACTAAAGACTGGTTTGTCAATTTTAATGGCTGCACATATTGGCAACTTCTGTTCTGAGAAAATACAGTCTTGCCTGAGCTGGTTATATAAACTCCAGCCAACTTCTTAACAATGCCCATCTTCCAGGATCAGTCTGAATCCTAGTAATTTACTGTCAACAACTAGGGCTGTGAGTAATTAAGTTCATTTCATCTATCTTTACCTCTATGGTACCAATACCTTGAATCTTAAGGACCTGTCTGTTGACCATCAGCATATTTTCATTCTCTTTGCTCGAGGCAAAACTTTCTGAATTATTCATGAGAGAGTGGGAACAACATGAATCCACCAATGCCATACATGGATTTCTATTTATGTGCACTTTTATCACTGGGAACACTTCATTTATTCTCTTTTGTGGTGAGAAGACTGGTGATGATATCTTGTCCCATAGCCCATTTCTCTAACATTTTAGTTCTCAGCATCAAAAACACTGTACTCCTTAGTGGATCTTTTGTGAACAGCTTGTGCACATCCCCACAGGTTAATATTGGCAATCCCTGGCATAATGATCAAGTTCGGAATACCTGTGGCAGCTAATGTTGGCAGGAGACTTCGTGAAGGGCATTGACACATCTGTTTTAACTGCACATGTGGCATTGATAGACTCACTAGGGCACAGATAACAAGCCGAAATCTGTTCATCAGCCATAAATTTGTCTGTCACAAAAACATAGAGTTTGATTTATTTGAGTGATGCTTGATTTTTCCTCCTCACTAAGCTGCTGATACATGGTGAAGGCTCATCCACTCAGGTGCAGTGGCAGAATGCGTTCTCGTTTTTGTCCCACACATTCTGTGAACAAGCTCAGCTTTTTTAAATCATTCAAGCTGTGCCATCAAATTTGGGAATTAATTTTACATGCTGTATCTTAAAGGTTGCCAAAATAGCTTGTAAAAAGACAAAATGAATTTCTCAAAAAGTCACTCACTCAGAGTCATCTCACGTTAGGTTGATTTACTACTTGTGTTTATTTGTCACTCCACTGTGACAGGATATGGCACAAGGTCAGTTTAAAGTGAGAAGCCCAAGCAAATGTGCATCCTGGGTATGACGATAAACTACGTCCAACAGCAAGGCCTCAGATAATGTTTTCGGAAAGATAATGTTGCCAGCTATACGTTTTTGAAGAAATAATGTTGCCAGCTATATGTTTTTTGAAAAAGTAATGTTGCCAGCTATACGTTTTTTGAAAAAGTAATGTTGCCAGCTATACGTTTGTGGAAAAATAACATTGCCAGCTATACATTTACAACCTCCATTAAATTTAAGCAATACCATATTTATTAATACTATATTGGGCCTTTTTTTTACTGCAAATAAAACTGGTAGTGAAGAATTACATCAAGTGGCTATGCAAATGAATTAGTTTATTTAATATAAATAACTAACTCATGCCAGATAGAAACATTTGAAACCATTTACTCGAGTAAGAATAAACAAGCTGTGGTTTAAGGATGTATATTCAAAGTATGTTTACAAAGTATATATATTTAATGTATATTTGCAAACTGGATTTGGCATTAAATAACCTATAGTGGTTGATATGCCATAAAACCCCAACCAACCAACCAACCAAGCAAATGCACTTGGGATAAGGCTAAAAGTTGCTCATACCTGCATCCAATTTTGTATAAGCATTGATATTCCACTGACCCTCCCTCTTTAGTGCAATGAGGGCGTGGCTGCCACTGGGACCAGGCATCTCTCATTTATTTATTGATACTCTGTCTGAAGACAAAGACACAAGTTGAGAGATATAAATATAGTTACAAACCTGAAAGGGGGAGATAAATACTAACTTATCACTTATGGGTGAAGCTGATTTACATCTTCATTGACTGTATCCAGAGAGGGGCATATTCACCACCCTGACAAAAACAACATGTGACACCAAAATGCTCTGACCTTCAAGATATGTGAATATTTTCCTCAGTACCAGACAATTTATGTGTAAGACCTGAGAAGATATTTTTTAGCTGTTTGATGAAAATATTAAAAACATGGTCTTATGTTATTAAATATACAATGAGTAAATTGTAACCATTTTATATTTTTAATTTTGTGCATTGTTTGTTTTCGATTTTGTTAACTTTATAGTATAGTAAGGTCATTTGGGCACTGTCTGTGAGAAAAAAAGAGCACCATGATGCAATTTACCTCACTCAGAAATTTGGAAATGGTATACTGTACTGCTTAGCATTTGTGCTGGAAGCTTCAATATGAACATTTCAGGGTGTAAATCTGAAGACAGTGCAGAGGATTTGGAAAGAGTTAGATGAGTCTAATTGTGATTACGAAGGTACGGCAGCTTGGAAAACTCACTCTGTTCTGATAAGAAAAGGTCTTTCAAATTTGTTGGTGAGGGCCATAGGTTCAACACAGAGACCTACATCAAGTGCCTTGAGGAGGCAGTGTTCCACTAGGTCAAGAGGGTGGCCAATGGAAGACTATATGTCTGGCAATAGGACTCTGCACCATGTCACACAAGCAGGAGAACTCAGTCATGGCTGTTAGACAATTTCTGTGATCACATCACCCCTTACATCTGGCTACGTAACTCCCCAGGTTGTAATCCCCTTGTTTATTATGTGTGCAGTTGAGTGGGAGACCAACAAAACTTGTAACACCAAAGATAAACTGAAGGCAAGAATTATGGCAGCATTCACTAACTTAAACAAGGAGACTGCCCAGAAGAGTTGCAAGAGATTCTGAATTGTCTGGTGGCCATGGCTGAAGCTGATGGCGATTTTATTGAATAAATTTACTCTTTAGTATTTCAAGATATTTTTGTGAAATTTTGGTAAATATATCTGTTAAAATGAGATGTCAGTGTTATTTTCATTTTTGCATAATTTAAACAATAACTTATACCCTGTAGAAAGTCACAACTTTCTATGCTGATTAACTAAACAAAGTTATATGTAGCTAATTAGAAAGGCATAACTTTATAGGAAAAAGGATTCTGATACTCACGCTGTTGATGACAATGGATGTAGACAATTTCATCAACATAAATAGTCAAGGCATAATCCCAGTAGAGACTGAAATTCAATGACAGTCATTATAAAAGAGGCAAGAAAAATTGGTTATTATGTAAACAATATCCATAACCTGAATTATTTTCATCAATATCATTCATTTCAATCAAATCAGAATAGACTTTGTAAGCACTGATTACTTTAAAAAAACTTGCAACAAATATTAACATTTTTAATATTACTATGAAAAAATAAATCAAATAAAAACAAAATTAGCATTTTATTAAAGAAAACACAAATAAATCAAAGTGACATTTATTTTGATGTGTCATTTACACCGGAAATGAAATAGTTATGTGTGGCTACTCCCTGAAAAACTTCAAGTTGAAAATTTTTATTAAATAATTGTTACTATTCAATTCATTCATAAAACATTAAAACTTGAATTGAATTTTTATCAACAATCATCTTATTTCTACCCATCATACCATAGTCCCTCCAATTATAAATGTGAAAACAAAATTTACAAAGATATGATAAATAAAATAATCCATGAGAAAAAAATTCCCTAAAAGAGTGAATATTTTGCCAAATAAATTTATTACAGTGATAATATAAATACATATAAATTTACATCTCAACTTTAACAACAGCATCCAAAGCCCTGACCAGCAAATATTTCTATTTTCTATATCAAAAGTAAAATGCAAATATGAAAGTTCTATTATTGGTTGAGCAGCTAAGTATACTTATTTTTTGGACACTGGTTCTTATTTTTGGCCTCAAAAGAAAGAACAAACAAATGACTTGAAAGTCAGTCAAAATTCTTGCTGAAGAGAAGAGTTGATTAATTATCCTTAAATTGAAAGTCATTCATTTGTAGTGGATGAAGAGAAAAGTCAATAATTGGGCTCAGAATGATAGAATTTTTGTTGAATGAACAACAATTTGAGAGGACTAATTCTTTTCAATAAATCTATGAGGATTGCTCTGAAAGTAATGCTTCCCTTTTATTATATTGGCCCATGGATGTCAGAGATAGATGTTGGTGGTATGGCAGTAGAGGTTGAACGCTTATGTTAATAGCCAAGCATTTTCTTTTTTGCCTTGTTACAGATAAATATCTGGAAAAATGGCTTCATGAAAGCGTATAAAAAGCAGAGGCATACCATTGAATTCCTACATGCAGAAGAAATTTTAACCATTGAAATACATTGATGGCTGCTGAACATTTAATGGAGATGAAATAGTGGATGTAAGCAAAATTAGTGGTTAATGCATTTCAGCAGTAGCAACAGCAATATGTGTGTGTGTGTGTGACAAGCCATGTCCCAAGTGGCCCTGCGCAGCTGTCAACCCACAAAATGAAGAAGAGTGCCTTGAAAACACATAGCCAATGCTGGTGAAATGATGTGAAAAAACTGTTTCGTAGCTGAAAACTTGCTCTATCCAATGGTGTTATTGTGCTCCCAGTAGCTGTCGTAGTTTCCATGGAAATAAATAGAAACCATTAATTTTGGAGCATCTCCCCTTGATTAAATGTACAGCACACTTGTTTGTGCATATTTAGAGAGAGAATAAAAAAATAACATTTTAAAACATCTACTAGTTTAAGCACTGTAGATTACTAACTAGAAATTTCATGCCTTTTCAATCTGTTGTGTATGTGTAAATCATCAAAGCAATTATTTAAAGAATTCTAAATAATGTTTACATCTCTACAATTAGCTGAAAATGATTTAATCTAAGTTGTAAAATAAATATATATAATCTTTAGTTTTGAATTGGTTTATATTTGATGCCCAAGGCTCTTGGTTCAAATTATATCTACAAATAAACTTTATAAAAGTTTTAAAACCTACTAACTACAAACCAAACCAAGACAAAAAAAAATCCACATGCACAAATGTCTGAAACAAAATCAAAGTTAATAAAAGTGAAACCAACAGCCCAAGAGGAGAACAGATAATTTTTAAATTACCCAGATGTGAATAAAAATGAGACAAGTGTGTAGCAAATGAAAAAGTATATCATTTGGTGTCCTGTGAAAGGTCACTTGGTGCACACGATGTAGTTGGAATTAAGACAGGATTTAATCTTTAAAAATCAATAAATGTGATTAATAAAATCTAAGAAGATTGTTACATAAGGTTGATATGAAAATATTTAAAACCACCAGAGGACAATTCATTTTCCATTTCCTATATTTATGGAACAAACACATATTTGTGGTTTTATATATAAGTGGACACTGAGATCAACACCAAGTGGTGACAGTCTGTTTTATGCTTCAATACAATCTTTAGACCATGATTGCCTGAAGATTGCATTGAAACAGATTGCTACCTCTTGGTATTGACCTCAGTGTTCACTTTTATATTTATATATGCTCTATCTTTAATACTGAGCACTTTTACTCATAAATATAGTATGCCTTAAAATATATTTTTATTTATATATATATATATATATATATATATATATATATGATCGAAATAAAAGTATAAAAATTTAATAATAAGACATATTAAAAATATTAAATAATAAAAAAAAAACGTTTTTTTTTTTTATTATTTAATACTTTTTAATATGTCTTGTAATATTAAATTTTATACTTTTATTTCGATCATTAAATTTTGTACCTACAAAAATATCTTTAAATATCTTAAAAACAGGTACAACCAGAATTTAATTAGTAAATTAAATAAAATATTACAGATCAAGGCGAAATTGAGAACTGTTGAATATGAAATTAAATTTCTTCAACAATGTATCCGCTTTCAGGTTTGCCCCTCTTTCATTCAGTTCAGAGTGAGGAGGGCTAAGTTACACCCCAGTTGGAATATTGAGTCGATCTTTATTAAAGATCGGATTAAACATCTTTCCTCTAGAAACCTGTGCCTTAAGCGAGATTACAGGAGATTATTATGTATGCATATGAATTCAGTCTCATTTTTTGATTGGATTAGGTTCTCCAGGTTTTTGGGACTGGTCCATCAACGGCAGTGTGTTAAATTATCTACAAAGCAAGATGCCAAGTTGAATAGTTTGGTCCAGAAGAAATACGGAGTCACTTCTGAACCTAATTCAAATAATATTATTAATCTGTCCATGAACTAATGAACTGAGTTAGAATCGTTTGTTCTTTCTCACGGGTTGGACTTCTCCATTCCTCCCTCTATGCCGGACAAGGAGAAGATTTTTTTTCAGAGTTCGAGGTTTTCTATGCTCAGTTGGCAAGACTCTCTCCCACCTCTGTCGTCGCCGTTACTAATTTGAAAGCCCAGTTGAACAATTTTGCTCACACCTTCTCCTGCTCCTCTGTCGCTACTGCTGAATCCAAATGGAAAGCAGAACATCAGCGTGTTATTAACGCTCTAAGGAATAATTATGACTTGATTATTTCCAGACCTGATAAAGGTGCTGGTGTAGTTATTTTGGATCGAGCAGACTATATAACCAAAATGTCTTCTATTTTAGAAGACACTTCAAAGTTTACTAGACTTGGTTCTGTTGAGACCTGTGATGGAACCTCTTCGTGTGAAATTGAATTAAAATTTCAAAAAATCACTTTTAAATGGGTAAAATCAGGGTTACTCTCAAAGGAAAATTGCCAACGAAATCCGTCCCTTCCGGTTCGATTCGTCCCCGATTATATGGTCTCCCGAAAATCCATAAGGAGGGTGTACCGTTGCGACCGATCTTGTCCATGATCGGGTCAGCCCAACACAAGATAGCCCAATGGCTCTCCACACTTTTGGATCCTGTGTTGCAGTGCCTGGATGATTTTTGTATCAAGGATTCCTTTTCCTTTGTTGACCCGCGAGCACATGAAAATTATCTTCTTCCGGTAAGTTCATGTGCTCTTTCGATGTTTCTTCCTTGTATACTTGTGTCCCTTTGATGGAAACCATCGATATTTGTTGCGACTATCTCTATCGCAGTTCATTTACTTCACCGAGTTTTCCTGAGTCAATTTTTTGGGAATTGATGAAATTTGCAACGTCCTCCGTTGAATTCAGTTTCAACAATACTATGTACCGACAGATCGACGGGGTCGCTATGGGCTCTCCTTTGGGTCCTGCACTTGCTAACATATTTGTTGGCTTCCAGGAAGAAAAGATACGAAGGAATCCACTTTGTCCTCAACTGTACTATCGGTATGTGGACGACACCTTTTGTTTATTTAACGGTGAAGTTGAGGCTGACCAGTTTTTTTGTTTTTAAATGGCATCCATCCGGCACTAAGGTTCACTATTGAAAAGAGTCTAATCATCAATTGGCTTTTTTGGATGTATTAGTACATCGCACGTCAACAGGTTTTCTTACTTCCGTTTATAGAAAACCTACTTTTGCAGGGTTATACACGCGTTGGGACTCTTTTTGTCCCACTAAGCGCAAAATCAACATTATCAAAACCCTCCTCCACAGAGCATTAAAGATTTGCTCTGAACCTTTCCTGAACGATGAAATTAACTTTATTAAGGATACCCTATGTAATTTGGGTTATCCTCTTGATACTGTTAATTCAGTTATCCGGAGTAAAGTTGAAGAGTTCAGAAGTGCCGATCTCTACACTGTCAAAAAATGCCCTGTTTACCTTAGATTACCCTGGATTGGTACAAAGTGTGAAAAAATGGCCAAACAAATTTCATCAAAGGTTCGCTGCTGCTTTTTCTCTGCTGAAGTTCGGATTATTTTTCAAACTCGGCCTATGTTCTGATCTGCGTGTAAAGACGTTCTCCTCCCCACCATATTAATTCTATTGTTTACAAATACGTTTGTAGTTGCGGAGCCAACTACATAGGGAGAACAACTCAGCGCTTAGACACTAGAATAAAGCAACACGTTCCTACTAAAATTAGAACCACACCTTGCCTTGAGTGGACTCGTCCCGAACACCTACAGTTCCGCCATATGCGAACACCTTTTAAATAGCAGAGATTGTGCCGCCAAATTTAGTGTCGACTGGTTCACCGTGTTGGCCCGGTCACACTCTGTATTTCATCTGAAGGTTCTGGAGGCACTTTACATCGGGTCCCGCAAGCCTTCTTTGTGCAAAC